TTCATGCTGTCAATACATAAGTCAATATATCGTGCAATAATCGATCAATATACCTAGTTCAATATCTAGTGCCTAATTGGATTGGGCACTATCCATACAATATATCGGGCAATAATTGGTCAATATATCTAGTTTAATATCTAGAGTGCACAATTCGATCGGGCACTATTAATATAATATACCGGGCAATCATTGGTCAATATATCTACTTTCATAGCTAGTGACGCAGTGGCATCAGACACTGTCCACAATATATCGGGCAATAATCGATCAATATATCGACTAAATAACTACTCTGATCAGTGTTTTTCGTCAACCCGATATATCGGGTACGATATCTAGTCGCTAGTTATCATACCCGATATAGCTAGCTAACTCAATAAAAGTGGTACGGATAGCTAGCCGATATTGCCCCATAACATATTTTTATATCTAGATATTCTCAAAGGCATTTTTTTGCTTGGGTTCTTCATAATTCCTATAAACACACAAATCGATAGCTTGGCAAAAAGAAGATAAAGGCATGGAGTTCAAAAACGTAAATGCAAAGGTTTAAGCTGATCATTGGGCGAGAAAATCAAGTTTTGAAAATTTATTGATGAGTGTTCTTATGGACTGTATCAAAGAACAAGTGCGGCATAATATTCTCACAATCAACCATTCTTCTCCGCCATTTGAACAGCTATCTTCGTGTACTCGTCCAAGTCCTCCTTAGGCAGACCTAGAAGGTCATTGTGCAGGCCCTTTGTCGCTCCATAATTGCCACTCTTGTCCGGATAAAACACCCTCGAGTAAAGCAATTTGGCTACGCCGAGTATACTGCCATTGCGGAACTCCTCCACTCCGGACTTATAGCGCTCCTTGACCGGCTCGTAGTTCACTTTCCAGTCCTTCAGAGTGGTGCCGGTCACGCACATAACAGAATCCAGCATATCTTTCTGGCTGACGTTGAAAGACGTAGACAAACTTGTTTCTGAAATCGTTCAGACATGCACTCTTGTCGTTCGCATCGTCCGGAAGCACCTTTAAGCCTAGCAGATTGGCGACTGCCCGGCCAGTTGAGGTCAGGTGGTGGTGTTAATGCGAGTGTTGCCATCATCAAAGAAAGTAACAGTGCGATTTTGAAAGTCAAAGCCATACCGTACGCTACTACCGGCCAGGCTGAATTCGTACCAGGGGTTGCAGATAATGCCGAACCAGGGACTCTTGACTAGCTTTTCTATGTGTTCGCGGCATTTAGGGGTCGCCTCACAAATCAAGTTGTCCCTTTGCATTTCCACTTCAGTAGGGTCACTTCCGACCTCGTTTTGTAAGACCCATGGCACATTTGCTGCTGCTGCAGCTTCGATGAGCTTGGTCAGCTGTTCCTTTGGTGCAGTAATTGCCATTGTAATAACGAGGACCTCTTGACCTTTAAGGGCCTCGACAAGCGATGACGGGTCAGTGTAGTTGACTTTCTTGACTTCCACACCAGACGGCATTGGGCTTGTGCTACCTTCTCAAGTGAGCACAGTGATTTTGTGCTTTCCGATCTTGAGCAGTTCATCTACGATGAATTTGTCGACTTAACGACCTCCCTTTTATCAAAGTTAGAGCAGAACTTGACCATGAGAGCAATCGCAACTTACCCTCACGATCGCGACTTTTTCGACATGGTTCTTGAAGCCCCGGGGCTGTTTGTTGGCATACTTTTGCGCCATTTTGTGTAAGAAATTGAGAATGTATTGGCTTAAGACAAGAAGATGTCTGTCTAAGCCAAAGTCGAGGGAGTAAAATTATCTAGAGAGAAAAGCAGTTTTTCAAGATCGATCAGAAGAAGACAGCTGCTCACACCTTAGAATTTATACTATGAAATCAAACAAGAAATGCCGAGTCCATCAGGACCAAACTCCAATCCACTCGCTTTCTCAATTTCTTATCTTTACATCAATTGCTTTAAATAGTATAAATTTCTTTATAGCAAGAAGCGTTAGAGGATAAGGTATGTGAAACTCTAATTTATAGTAATAGTAGCGTTACTGGTATTATAGAAAGTCAACTCTTTAGATTTATCTCCGATGAATATAATGTTCAAAAAATAAAAGAGGAAGTAATAGCGATATCAGTATGCGAAAACGACGGAGTTTTTCATGTCCATACTGTCCGATATAAGAATTACATTCCTATGCGCCCGTTTCTGTTGACTCAAAACGAGTTTTACTTTCGATTTACCCGACGATTCCTAGAGGTTAGAGGAAGAAGAAGGTAACATCTGTCATACTGCATATTTCCATGCTTTAACCTTCTCCGGCAGTACGGTGATATTCACCAATAAGTCCATCTCTAATCATGTCAATGTATGTAGCTTGTTTGATGCGACTGGTGATGCCTACGAATAATGACGTTGTATTTTTACATGAGAGGCTACTTACAACTCCTACCAGACCCTCCAATTTGTCTATCGCCGTTCCGATCCATTCAAACTTTATCTTCGATTTTCTTCATTGTGAAGTCTAAAACGAGAGTTGCTCGGGCCGAACCTTGGTTGAAAAAACCGGAAACTTACCCATTTATTCCTACTGTTCCTACTTATTACAGTTTATCAAATGGGTTTGTACCAGAGCTCCGTATGGACTGGACTGAGTCCATAGTCCAGTCCATGTGGACTGAACTGGACTCAGATTTTTTGGATTTCATGGACTCGGACTGGACTGGACTAGACTTTTTTAGTCCATGGACTGGACTGGACTCAAAAATTTGAGTCCATACGAAGCTCTGGTTTGTACTCACTGGAAGTAACAGAACCAATGATGTTTAAGTGTATTTATTAGGTCTTCTTTGCGTATGTCTATCGTTCCACGCTACGAGATCGCAAAATTTAAATCATTGGTAGAAAGGTGCTTGTCGGAAAGTAGAATATATAGTTTTAGATGAACGAGTCGAGAGTTATTTTTCCTTTGAATTTTAGCATAGAAAACAGACAAAGTATCACAGATCTAAAAACTATTGAGCGCCTCTTTACTTCGGCCCTGAGTTTTTATACAGTTTCACAAGCGAATGTCGAAATTAAATCTGGAAAAAAGCTCGTCAGAGGCTGTAAGATGTCTCATTATAATCAGAGTTTTCTGTGCCGCAAATGTTTTGTCTTCATTTCAAAGAAAAACTGATATTCAACTGTTAAGTTATTGTTTTTTGTTCAAGTAATAGGCAGGAGAGAGAAAAAAATAATACAGAACAACAACGCTCATTTTTTTCTTTTCCGAAGAAAAAGTAATGCGTAGTGAGTGCAAAAATATGCGACATCTCACTCATGAAAAATTCATTCTTAAGGCGGCAGAGTGAAGCTCTGGGAGCGAACTTCATACGACCTTTTTTCTTTAGGACGGTACAGTCTAGGTGACGCTCATCGTATTGGAGCTATGAGTATGGGAAATGTTCTGCGGATCTGTGATATCGCGACAACGGCATGTTACCTATGGGCACTTAGAAGTGATACTGATGATTAGTATGATGAGCGCTTATTTGAGAGCGAAAGATCGGTCTCGG